CAAATTTTGACGAAAATCGGAGGGGCTCAACCAATGACCTTGACATTCCGTAACTTAATGACTCCGTGACTGGAAAAATATGGCGGGCCGAGCTTAACTTTTATGATATTTGTAATGAGGAGGATGCAATATGTCCGTATACCAATTTTGACGGAAATCGCAGGGGCTCGCCCAAATGAAATTCAAACCTCCGTTACTTTGTAAATATGGCGGGCCGAGCTTAAATTTGGTGATATTCGTAATGAGGAGCATCTAGAGTGTCCGTACACCAAGTTTGACGGGAATCGTAGGGGCTCGCCCGAATGACCTGGAAATTCAAACATCCGTAACTTCGTAAATATGGCGGGCCGAGCTTAGATTTTGAGTGCATCGTAATCAGGACGTTACGTACTATCCACTGACCAAGTTTGGTCTAAATCGGAGGGGCTCGCCTGACTCCGAATCTTAGATTATAGATTAGGATTCACTCACATATAACTTGACGACCGTACAATCGACCCAACCGCTCTTGAGGTGCAGGAGCAGCCCCTGCATGTGCGCGGATTCAAAGTAAGACTTTGTGTGCGTCACCGTTCAAACCGGTCGCCATTGGTGTACTGAGTTCAAGTGCAATCGGCTCAGCCGTTCTTGAAACATGAAGCCGGCCTCTTCACGCGGGCACGTGCGGTACGGGGACCCGCAGTTGCTACTGTACAGCGACCCTGAGTAAATTGTCCCAGCACCCTCACAGGGAACAACGATAAGCTGTCAGAGGGCACGCACAGAAAACCTCAGCTGCTCTTGTGCAGGGACCGGCAGTCGATATCAATGTTATCGGTTGTTACTGGGCAGGATAGACGGCTAGAGTTGGGGTTCGTGTACAGTAGCAACTGCGGGTCCCCGTACCAGCCTAACTATAACAAGAAAATGCATCATTACCCGATAGGCGCCCAACTACGGGCCAAGTTTCAGCGCATTCAGCCGCATATCTGAGTAGTTGTAAGCGAAACAGATGTGAAATACTTGAAACTTGGCTTTGCATGTGGCGTGTGCAACCTTAAAGAAAAGCACCAACCATTAATCGTTATTGCTGGACTGGGTCTCAGCCATTTCACCAGCATGCCTTTTTTATTGCCCCTGCAGGTTTGGAGCGAACTGACGTCGCCTGCGGCCTGAGACCAGTCAGGTCCTAATCGCTCCCAAAATACCGACTGCTTACCCAATTGATAAAACACGCTGGGGCGAATCACGCCTGTGGTTGAGCAGCCGGCGGCGGGCGGCACGGCAGGCGGCTTCAATATTTACCCGGCCGGGGGACTGGGAACGATTTGGCGACCGTCCGTTTCCTATAACGACCCTTGGTGTGCCGTCGGCGGATCGGACCCTCGGACGGCGCCCGAGTCGGGCAGAGGGCCGGGTGGGCGGTATACGACTGGGCTCAGGATGGTAATGGTCTGGATATGAACTGGATAATAATCTTGCCACGGGATATGGACTGGTATGTCTGGATAGGCTGCAGCCTGCAGACAGTGCAGTGGTGTGTTTGAATGCTCTGGCTCGGTATTTGGGTGGTTGGGGGGAGGGGTCGGAGAAAGAAGGTGCGAGCAAGTGCCCGCACGTCATCATTGGCCTGTCTGTAGGTCACGGTTGGACACATGTAGTTCACTGTCGGTCGCAGATTGTCGGTTATTGCAGATTGTCTGTGACTGTAGGTCACTGTCACTGTCGCTTCGGCTGTCTGTAGGTCACTGTCGGTCCCGCTGTCTGTAGGTTGCACTGTCGATCCGGCTGTTTGTAGCTCACCGTCTGTGGGTCGCTATCTGAGGGTCACTGTCGGTCCCGCTGTCTGTAGGTCATGACGGTCGCTGTCTGTCGGCGCCAGGTGACGGCGGTCTGTCCATTTGTCGGTGACCGTTGGAGCGCGGTCAGCGGTCACCGGGCTGTCACCGACAGCCGCCGGTGAGCGGTCTCCGGTGACTAACGGCGGGCGTCCGCTGCGCCCCCGATAATGAACGGCTCCCGAGCGGCAGCCGGCGCCCGCCGGACGTGTCAGCTACAGAAACAGATACTTTTTTACGTCTCCCAAACGGTCCCCGCCGTCCCGATCATACCCAACCGATACAGGACACTCAGCAGATCACATTAGACCGACAGAGGACATTCAGTGGTCTCCCGATCATACATGATCGACATGGGACACTCAGCGGACGTCCCATCGTAGGTATCTGCGCGCTGCCACACTCGGGCCATGTATTCGCGGGAAGCTCTGAAACCGTTCGATTGTGGGGAACATAGCCTAGCTTTGGCAGGGACCAGCATGCGCTGCGCCATAGCTGAAAATAAAAGCACTTTGCCCTCGACCAGTGTTACCACACCACAACACAGATCAGTATATGTTTTAGTTAATTTTCTCCCATGCGCTAATAGACCCGGCTGCCGGAGAGCGGAGCCGGCCGCCGGGGAGCGCCCGGCTGTCGGTGCTGCGCGGCGGCGTCCATTTGTTGTGCGGGCCCCGGTCGGACCGCCGTTATCTGGACCTCCTAATTGTTCACTCGGGCTGACAGGGCAGTATTCGTCCGGCAGCCCATCATCAATGCAAAGACGGATGGCGGCGCACCCCGACTGATGGTGAGAGATTACCTCCCGAAGAGCGCGGCGGACAGACGGCTCCGCCAGGAACCGGGCTGCTGCTGTCTGAGGCTGTCGTAGCCTACGCTGCTGACCGGTGACTGTCGGAGGAGTCGAGTCGGAGGAAAGTTAAACTAGTGCACTCCAGGGACCGCAGAGAGTGGTCACCAACATCGAAACCATCGGGAGTGACAGATAAGGCGGAGTCACGATGAGTCTCCAGTGCCGGCTCTACGAGCAGCATCTGTGCCCAACAGTATCTCCATCAGGGCCTATGCGCAGCAGTCCCCAGCACAGACTTTTCGCTGATTAGATTGCAGAAGCGGCTCCTTCCAGACCCGAAGCGGTCGGGTATTACAATAGGACCGTCAAGAGGTCGGGTGGGACAGTTTCTGAGAGGTGAGTGTCGCTGATCGACCCCGACGCATGTCTGACTGATCTGGAGCCGTCAGTTGACTGCCTTCCGACAGTCCTGGAAACTGGTGAAGGCGGCCGGCCACCGTCTGAGCTACCAGCTTCTGTTTGACCGACCGTGTCCCGTCAGTCATATGCTGTCTAACCTACTGGCCTCTGTCCGACCTTTACTCGGGCAGTCGGTCACTGACCTTCCAGCCAGTGTCTAACCGACTAGTGGCTGTCTGACCGACCCAGAGCTGTCAGTTGACTCGTCTTGACATTGCCAGAGTCTGATGCCGCAGTCGGCCGCCATCTGACCTTAAAGGAAATAGTTCACTTTTTAACATGGGTTTTGAACTGGAATAGCAGTTCCGTGGCTTGGGCTGAGACGAGCATAAATCAGGAGCTTTTACAGCCCAACGATCACCCTAGGCAAAGATATTCTATTTCTCGTCCCGAAAAAGGTGTCTTGCGTTGAGGATGTGTGCCTTGCATATATTTCCATCCAGTATGAAAAGAGCATGGGTCCCGAAAATTCTTCAGAAACTAGAGAAATTATCTACGAGAACTCTAGAGAAATTCTCGTACTGATCAATTAGGACATTCAGGGGAACATTATCAGATCGAGCAGATCGCCCAAATGCCGGTGGCTGCGATAATTTCTCTGTTTCTGAAGAATTTTCGGGACCCATGCTCTTTTCATACTGGATCGCGTGTGCCTTACAGAAACTGAAAAGTTCTTCCTATATCAAAATATAGAAAATAATATTTTGTTATAAAAAGGTTTTATTTTCTTTGCTGATTATTTTGAACATAAAAAAATCATAAATCCGTTGCAAAAAAAAAATAATTTCGTGAAAGTGAACTATTTCCTTTAAAGCCACTGTCTAAAGTCTGAACTACCAGTCACTGTCTGACCGACCCAGAAGCGTCAGTCCGGCTGTAGGACCTCAGTCTGCGGCAGATTACCATTACAATGGTATTGGTCAGCCCCCTCCAAAGTCATATGGCAGCATGGGCGTGACTTTTCCTACTAGCCCATAGGGTTGCGTGTTAAAATGCGACTTTTCGCGCTCGGTTTTCAAGGTTTCGTAGTGTGGGCATCCACATACAAAGTATGTCAAAAGATAGCTACAACATTTTTATTTCCATTTTTGGGATGAAAAGTTCAAGCCCATCCAACCGTTTTCGAGATATTCGTCCATATATGACCCCATGTTTTTGATACATCGGAAGGTCCTGTGTTCGAATCTCGGACAGACCAAAACTTTTATCGTTACTGTGCGGCAAACCATTGCTGCAAAGTAAAGTAGGGGTGAGCGCGCTGGTGATGGAGGGTTGTAAGTTGGCATACCTGACCTTTGATTCAAGCCGGATTTTTTGGCACCAACCTCATTTTCAGGTCAGGTCAGGTCACTGACCTATGACGTCATAAGTGAACCTCTGCACGGTCTCAAAAACGTCGTAACATAGCAACTCCATCAATTCAAGGAGATCTAGCACAGGTAGATAAAACTTACAGAACTTATCAAACTCCCTTATTCTCAAAAGTCGTTAACTTCGGATTTCTCCTAAGGGTCACCTAACGTCAGGTCGGTCAGGTGATCTGGCCATTATAAGCCGATGGGGGGGGGGAATATAGAGACAGTTATTTTGGCGCTGACAGTGATCTTAGACGGAACAGACACAAATAGACTCAGAAAGACCTGCCGAATTGAATAACGTGCAACTTGACCTCATCATGAGGTAATGACCTGACCTGACCTTGGACGGAGGTCAACATCCTAAATTGACCTCACCCATACAAAAAGCATATAATTCGACGTGGCTGAGCATGACGAACACGATGGTGTCGAAATTGCAGCTCTGATACCATTTTAGGCGACCACCGAACAATCCACTTCCTGGTATGCCAATGCTTTTATTAGCTAAAGACGATGAACACTGAACATTCTCATACATGCAAACATGCCACTTTGGGTTACAGAGTAAGTGGTTCCCAATCGTACATACTACACCAGGCTGGCACGGTCCGCCAACATCAAAACAACGGTGCGTCAGCTGATTATTGGTCCTCCGATTCAGGAGAAATTATTAACGCGGGAACGCCGGCGCTAAATAAAAGCGGTAGGATTCACGGCTTCGCATGATCGTGTGCAATGTTTTTTATAGTATCAAGCGAGGGATATTGCCGGAGTTTTGCAAATAAATATTTTGCTCTCAGTTTCGCTATGCGATCGTGAACACTTTATTTTCATAGATACGATATGAAATAGGATAAACAGGCAATACCATAGGCCAACCCAAGGCTATGTAGGCCAACCTTAGACTTCGCATAGCCATGGACATTGCGAAGGAAGGTACTCGCCGATCGTACCACGATACCACGGGCAAGATATCAGACTTTTGGGAGTTTTGTGTCGCTGGAATGTATTTTAAGTGCTAAGAAGGAAAATAATTCAATTAAATGATGTCATGGACAATGGACAATGGACATGCCATTCCAAGCATATATTTGCCTGGCTTCGACAACCAGATAGCCAGGCTTATTTCACGAGCTTCTAAAGAGGTAGTGGATTAATATCGTTTCTATTACATTTGATTGATAATCCTACATATCAGTAAAGCTGCCACGTTATCATTCTCGGCGAGCGATTACCGGCACATCGTACCAATGCCAATGCAGCGTCGAGCGTCCGATGGTTTACGATAGGAATTATAACAATAGTTTTAAACTATAGCGCTTTTTAGAATCATGGTCCGAAATGGTAATTCAAAGAACCTCTTCCCCTTTCAACTCACCTGAAAAAGCTGCTTTCGTGTACCACCCAGCACCCGTTTCGTAGATATATCAAAATGATAACTGAAGGCGAAGATTATCCTCGGCCGTGCCCATTTTCGAACCAACCCTGAGAGGCATAGGCGGCGGAACGGGCCGGGCGGCGGGCACCGGGGCACCGTGCCCCCTTTAATTTTGGCATTTTAACATTAGCCCTATGGGCGTTGCACGGAAAGAATGGGACCAAAAGTCGGCAGTGCCCCCCCCCCCCCCTTAATTGAAGGTGTTCTGCCGCTACTGCTGAGAGGCCGTGGAAAATCGCTTTTAAAATCAATGCCTATTTTATGATCTACCACGATTCGTGGTACCGACGGGGATCCCACAAACACGACGGTCACATTCATTAAGCATGATGTACGGCGTAAAGCACCACAACTCACTCCAAAAGCGCAACCTTCTGAGATATTTATATTTAGTTTCAATGCTGGTACTGGTGCAGTTTCAATGCTGGTACGGACGGGGACCAGCAGTTGCTACGGTACACGAATCCCTTGTCTAGCCGTCTGTCCTGTCCAGTAACAACCGATAACATTGATATCGACAACCGGTCCCTGTACATAATAAAAACATAAAAAACATTGGGACACAAACAACTGGAAACTGTTGGTACTTTCGCGCATGGGCGGCGGAACGGGGAGGGCACCGGGGCACCGTGCCCCCTTTGATTTTGGCATTTTAACATGGGCTCTATGGGCGTTACATGGAAAGAATGGGACCAAAAGTCGGCAGTGCCCCCCCCCCTCCCCTTAATTGAAGGTGTTCCGCCGCTACTGCTTTCGCGTACGTAATACAACGACGCTGGCAATCAACAAGTTGCAACATACGCCCGAGATAATAAGATTCAGATAACAACGCCGGCCAAGAGGTGCGCCGTCCGAAGGCTCCAGTTGAGCTGGGCGCAGGTACTAAATAGCATCAAAGGAAAACCTACATTCATCTCGCCGCATTTAACCGCACCAATCGAAAGCCGACAGCGTGACCGCGCTGACAGGCAATCAACCTGGCCACATGAAACTAGCTAGTGCAAGGGCCAAGGAAGATGTCTATATAAACCACTGGACCATGCAAAGCGTTCATGTAAATAAAATACGAGTAAAGATGACGCGTTTGAGGGCAGACTGGCCAAACAGTGACGTTACACGCGGATCTCAACACTGCACAACCCATTCATCAAAAAAGATCTCGTGGATCCCTATATACGTCATACCTGGCCCTAGTACGAGGGTATATAGCCATGGACGTAAATGGCCGGCTTAAGGCACAGGATCCCAATTGTCATCCCCATTACGTGGTCCCCAGAAGTCGCCAGGCCGAGAGCCAATGGCAGTTAAGCACATCTTACACGTGCCGACAAAGGTGACACAATGAATCAAATAATGAGTCACTCCGTTAATAAGCCTGCATAATTCTGCATGTAGACTGCTATTTACCACCACGGCGGAAGGCTAAAACGCATCCATACAGCTCAACATAGGTGTCAATTTCCGCCGGGTTGGGGTTGCTCATTGCTCAAGCTCTCTAAATTCCCCTCCGGCTCGGCTGGCTTGGCTTTGGAGCCCCAACAGACGGTGCGGATCAAGGTCACCGCTAAGGCGGCGGCGGATTTGCTGCGCCCGGGCAGTGGGCACTGGGCACCCTCAATTCGGTGAAAATCGACACCCATGCAGCTCAACATGACAAAACGCTGCATACAAGCGCACGTCCTCGCATTTAATTGACGCATTTAACTGCGTCACTAACCTTGTACACTGTACAACACTGGTGAGATGACTGTCCGAAGGAAACTGCCGACTTTGGCTGGCAACATTCAGGGTTGGTGACTTATGTACTGAGTTCGGCTGGCTGACAGCGATGTGACTTCAGGACCGGTTGATGAACGGGCCATCCTAGTCCCATACTACAGGAGCCCAGCTGGTCTTGGCGAGCGGCGGCGACTGGACGAGGCTGGACCCCTACTACAGGAGCCCAGCTGGTGCTGACGAGCGGCGGTTACTGGACGAACGGGTCAGCCTGGACCCCTATTGCAGGAGTCTGGCAGGTCTTGGCGAGCGGCGACGACTGGACGAGGCTGGAGTCCTACTGCAGGAGTCGAGCTGGTCCTGTCGAGGAAATAGTTCACCTTTAACATGGGATTTTAAACTGAGATAGCAGTCTGATAGAGCAGATTTGCGTATGCCTTATATTTGAACCGTTTGAGATATTCACCTTTTATCAGTGAGTATCGGTGCTTAAATTCATGTTCTAGTGCTCATTTACAGCTAGCAGAAACCTCTTCAACACACAGTGGCCAATCAGCGATGAGAGCACTTACAGGAGCAGAATCCCTTCCAGCTGATAGGTTGTTCAGCTGTTAGTGTTCATAACTTAAATCATTAAAATAATGAAATCTCTTTAGAAGAAGTGTGTAATTCCAAGTCAGAATGCATTTAAATTTTATTCATCACATTTTTAACACATCTTTTTAAATTTTATTCATCAAATTATTCACAGAAGGTGAACAATTTCTTTTAACACCTACCTTGCTTCAATGGTGACATGTAGTTCTTGCAGCAGAGAAGGCACAGCATTTGGCTGCAACTTCAAATATTTACTTGTTGCTATCAATTATTCAGTTTGAAATGCATACAGGTACAGCGAATCTTGGGTTCTCCTGTAAGAATGCCGACGTCACCGCAGAAGTTCATCCAGAGCTTGCGCCTGAAAAAGGGCCAGGTTTAATATATGAGTGAAATGAAGACTTTTGAATCATTTTATTATTATACCATAATCACATTTTGCCTAATTTGTAAGAAATAGGTTTAGGTTAGCAGAAATAGGTAAGGTTTTGACTAGACCCCCTGGGTCACAACAGGGAATGACACCCATGATTGGTGGGACCACCAGGCACCAGCACTGGCATAGTCCGTTCTGACCACCGCACACCTATCAGCCCGAGAGCACACTAAATTGCATGTCAAAGCTCCATTAATGCTTTTTTTCAATTTTTGCCATCCATTTTGTTGGGTCCATCATGTCCATCACCAAGCCACATTTAAAATGCACTACACTACATCCCCCACCACCTGACTTCACCAGGCCAAAGCCGCACCGCGCTACACAAAATCCGCACTGCACCAAGCTAAATCCACGCTACACCAAACCCTCACCAGCCGGACAAGCCAGCACAGACGAGATCTTGTCGAAATTGCCATGCTTTGCAGATTGCATACTGGCCTACCTGAACCTCACCTTACCCAACATATGAGCCTGACTGTCCTAAGCACTGGGAGCTCATTGAGACCAGGCCCCACAGGCCTGGTGGCCTCCTAAAATCTGATTTCCATATGATAAGGTGAGCTATTTAAGAATGGTGATCGGATATCAAACGCGAGACAAGACAGCAATGGGTAGTGGGCGGTTCATGCAACAATAATCATGTTTCCTTACCACAAGTATCAAAGCAAAAGCAAAAATGGCTACCTATCGAATTCAAATTTCACTGGAACCTCACCTGCATGGAACATCTTGGTAAAGGTACATCTTGATACATCTGCACGAAAGATACATCTTGATCCACTCATCTCAATCTTGTTTTTCTGCATCCAGGGCATGCAACACTTCTGGTACCTATTTTTTGCACAACTTACTCGACTGCTGAGCTCAAATGCAAATTCAAATTGCAATCACGGTCATAAAATACCACCTAGGTACTGAATATTGAATCGCAATGTATATTCAGTCGATGTACCCCTCGTTCGATGACTCTCGGACGACGAAGATTGTACGTCGTCCGGCCAATCCCGTTTAGGTCAACGGGGGCTCGGCTGCGATTATGGAATATGATTGGCCAAACGGCGTAGGATCTTTGTCGTCCGAGAGACATCGAACAAAAGTAATGTCGCTACTGCGCCATTTTTTGCATCGAATTCGCCCCATAGAAGCACGTGTTAACTCTCTCCCATAGGGCCCTGGGTAAACTCATGTACACAACCTCCATAGGGTCCTGGGTAAACTCTCCCCTTGTCTATTTTCTTTAAACGGGAATGGTTTGGACAGAAAAATATTTCCCACCTCATAAAAAATAAAACTTAATTTTTGATGTACTATATTTATGATAAACATAAAAGAACCAAAAGAAATTATTTCAAAGAAACCGATTGTTTAAAAAAGGACAGCTGACGGCATGCCTCCCGTGCCCCCTGGCTTGAAGCTTCGGCTCCGTGTTACCTTAGTATTCTATGACCGTGATACTACACGTTCCACACATCACACTACCGCTCGTAATTGCAATGCAAATAAGCTTTTGCTCGTTGGAAATAAACTTTGGCATTGGAAGATGTCACGGTGTTACACTAAACATTGACCACAATTAGATATCAGGTATCAATATCAGTAACATTCAGCTCATCCTCAACACATAACAATCAGACGGAGAACACTACGGTAAACCTCAAAGAGGTTTTGGCCATGGTAGGCAATGAGGCATAGCTGCGAGCAGGATCTTCGATCTGAGAAAACATGAATGTGAAATTACATGCATCACACTTGCAATAAAAACAAACTCAAGTGATAATTATCTTTGAAAAATCAGGATGAAAGAACATGAACGTATTTGAAAACATAACAAGGCACAAGCATTATCAGAGGAATAATGCATGGTTATTTAAAAGACCTGTTAATATTAAGGTAGTGGATTGTTAACAGGATCTTAGAATGGTCGAGAGATGTTACCTTCAGAAGGGTTTCCTTTCGTGGTCACACATTATTGATGTTAACAAATGAACACTGGGTTGTGCACACCCTTAAAGTGACAGCTTCACACAATCTGTTGTCTATGTTGAAAACTAGGCTTCCTTCCTGTTCAGATTAAGACAGTTGATGGCACCTCTGGTTAGCTTTGTTCAAGGAAGCATTCATTTTGCCAGTGTCGGTAGGGCCAAGATACCTATAAGAAACAGGTAGGTCCGATGTTTTGAGTAAAGCCCAAGTAAAGCCCTGGTGACGTCACTGACATTTCTTATATGGAGAATTTCGCCCATAAGGAAAATATTTTACATACGAAAATTTGTATTTCATTAGGAAAAAATACATTCTATCAATTTCATCATGAAACTTATATAATTTAATTAAAAAACTTGAAATCCTTTGAGTGCTTGTCCCAACCCCTGCTATACCTTTGGTCACGTGACTACCATGATAAACTTTGCGTTTTGCAATGTTATGACTTAAACGGAAGCAATAAATGTTACAAGCGTATTATTTATGATGTTTTAGGCAGCAATCGTGTAATAACATCCTTGAATTATATACATTCTGCTTAAAAGAGGTCACGTGATGCTACCAGATTGTGCTCGGACAGCATTTTCTTCAACTTCGATTTTGAGTACTTTTTACCTTTATTGAGTCCTAATAACGGACGTTTTTAGTTATAAAATGAAGCAATGAATCTATTGAGGGCAAAATTTAATCATTTTTGCACTTTCAAGCCGGGCTATCCTGGCATGAACTTCGGCCGGTTTGTGTGTGAAGCCTATGGTGAAGGGAAAACTTCACGCCCGGCTGACGTCACAGACCTCGGCTACCAAATCGTGTCCGGTGGGGGTCGGGTAGGGCAGCCTGGCTACATATAGGAATCTTGAGCCAGGCACAGCATACATGTAGTAGTGCATGTCTTGTCCTGAAAAAGGATCAGAGATATATGGCTAAGGTAGTCATGAATGGAATTGACTCAGGCTGCTCTGAGGATGATTGACCACAAAGACATGGCTATTGTGAAAGCCCTGAAATAACTTATGAACTGGTGTGTTTTGAGTGAAGTGGAATATAAAGAACAGCATTAAAAAATAAAAAGTAAAAATTGACCTAAAAATTATATTCCATGCTTAGCTTCAATTACCTAAATCTTACGTGTTTTCATACAAACTAATATTACCAAGAAATTGCACAATTATCACTAACATGTGGCAACAAATGCTTCTTTCTACTTACTATCCACTTTCATGGATGCAGGATGCATGTGTTTTGATTTCATTATCACAGCAACACAGTTGTACGAGACGCTTGCACAAAGTATTACCTATGTTATATGCTGATGTTATTCAGCTGGAGCCTGGGACAGTGATATTGTATTGTTAAGTTTGTTCAAAACCAATGTCCCAAAATTTGCCAGTTTTGGGTGGGAAGTGACATCCAACTGAAATCAATTTTCCACTTTCATCTCCAATTTTCAAGAACAATTTTTCACTCTGAAATCCGAAAATTTTGGGACACTGTTCACTGTTCATAACACCAGCTTCATTTCTTGGTAATGATAGCTTTCAGAAGATTTCAGTCTTCCTTCATCGGCCTGTCAGGGCTCTAAAAATACATACAAACGAGTAGCGACCAACATAGAAAAGACTACACAAATGTCGTACGAAAGCTGCCATTGCAAATAGATAAAGCCGGTGTACGCAATCTTTGCAATACGATTATACTAAATATGCTCACAGCTAAGTCGAAAGGTGTCGCCATGCATCACGATTGATAAAATTCCTTGAAACTTATTTTTTAACACATTGTTACGCAACAGTGAAAGAATGATAAAGCACGAGGCTGGCCCACCACCCAGTCAAGTACAGCAGTTTGCAAATTTGCACAGTTACTCAGAAAGGCCTTTGTTCACACAATTCCATGCATAATGAAGAGCCAATTTTTTAATGCACACGACAGTTATTAAATACTTAGCCAGCACAATTTGTAGGTAAGTCTTTAAATGAAGGGAGAACACCATAACCGCGTGAAACCACAGGCCGCCTTGTGTATCAATATCACAATGATAAAAATGAAGCGCATTGTATTGAAACACGAGCGCCAGCTGCGCCGCGCTTCAACGCAGCCATATCCTAGGATATTTTTCGGTATATAGTAAAAAGCTCCCAGTTTTAGTTGTTTTTCTAGATGATATAGTATAATTCTAGTATATACTAGGAAAAACTTTGGAGTACCCGACTCTTTAGTGCCCTGGGTATTGGTATAGCGGTGACGGTGCGGGGGCCTGTCACTGTGCCACGCTCTCCGATGTCCCGCTCCCATCGCCTCTCGCACGGCGCGGCGCGGCCGACGGTCGTCTCGGGGCTCCCAGTATCGACTCCGGGCAGCTGACAGGCGCAGTGAGCCGGGTAAGCCGCCCTGACGCTTTCCGGGGCGCCGGCGCTCCTCCGTCGCTTTCACGCCCGCTTACCATACCAACATCCGCGGAGAACAAACACGTTTTTGCGAGCGGCGGCGGCGGAGTCGACTGCGTTCTGCTGTGCGGCGCGGCGGGACGGACGCGCCGCGGTGCCGGCGGAGGGAGTCGGCGCCGACGCGGCATCGTCCGTCGGAGCCGACGGCGGCAGTGGCCGGTCGGAGCGTGTCCACGCAGGACGCCGTGACGATCGCGCGCGGGGGCCGTGACGGAGCGTCGCTCGCTGGACACTGGCGTTGTGAAGGACGGCTGGTGTGACAGACACGTTACCTGTGACTGTGTGACCCGTGACATTGCTGGCTGAATGTGATGCGTGACTGGGGAGATCAGGAGCCGTCGTATTGAACTGGTATCTTGTTTATCCGGGTTCACCTTCGCTGGAGCCGGACCGCTGGAAAAGGTAAAGCTCATCCCATTGTAATTCAACACCAACGTGTATTGTGTATCCAAAGGGGTTTAGCTGAGTCCACAAATGCGTCAATAACTAGAACCATCCCCTCTAAGCAGGTAACAGCGTCAATTACCTACCCTGTCTGCTGTCTAGTGCCCATGTTAGCGACAACTCACAAGTAGGTATGCCTTTCGAAAGATTCTTGAAGCTGACGTGATTGACACTTGAGGCACTTTAGTTCTCCAGACGCATGAGTGTGGTGCTCGGCTCAAAGTCGGTAATAACGCTATTCCGTATTTATTGTTCTTAAGACATGTAATTCTTGCAAAGACAGCTTCAACAGTCAAACAATTTAACATAAAGCTCGATTTATTTATAACTTCTTACCGCTGAACTTTTGATGCCACATCTCTTCGATTCAAAACAAAATGTCAGTCTCTATGCTTTCCTGGAGCTATATGAAAGGTCATGACCTCTGTCCGAAAATGCTGCTCACGTTTTTGGTTCAGTGCTGAACACGAACTTCGAAGACACGCAGTGTCGTGTCCTCAGTGCCAACGCTCCCGAGTAAAGCAGTCGACCTTCTTCGCCACCACGCAGCCCGAAGTGGAATGTTGCTCAGACGGAAAGGCGTCGAGTAGCGCTGCCACCCAACGCATCTCTTAGGAAATGTAGTTATTTCCTGCCACTCAAGGTAATGGTAGTGGCTATATGTATTAATGCAGGCGCTTAGAACCTAGTACTTGACGAGTCAAGCCGCCAAATGCGTTTGAGAGAAAGGCCTTGAAAATGTATAGCGGTAATACACCTAGAGATGATTGATATTTGCGTGTTCAATGACGTTTTGTCATTATATATCAAAAATTCTAAATAATGCCATGCTGTGAGTGTTAGGCTCATTTTTGACAACAAACCGAACAGCACACACATTAGCCTAAAAAGACCATGTATGTCTTTCTAGAGCAGCTATATTGCAACATAAAATGAAAAGCTTTGGTACCGGTTTACAGAATCAAAGGAGGAAGCCGCTCGCGTCTGCTGATGTGTGAGCAATTACCGCAAATTATCTTTCACTGAAGGGCTGAGGGCCCTAGCATATAATCTCCCAGGATCAAAGTGACCCAATGTCCCTCATTCCACGAAATGGTGTCGCTATTAAGCACTGGACGTTAGAAGTCACAATATCATTTACATAATCGTTTAGTATATATCTGAGCGAGTGAGCAAACTGAGCGTTGTATTATATGAATTAATATCATTCACTAGAAACGTAGTAGTCAACCGAAATGTATCATAGGGAAAAGGCTGGGAACTACAATAATTAAGTGCGGTCCACCACTTGAACTACAGACCTAGGGGTCTTAGTTTTAAACTTTCGTATTATGAAAAGTTCGATCGATAAAAACATATATACCACCACCCGGTCCCGATACCTTGCGAACCGTAGTCCAAGCCGTAGTCCATCATTTTTATCATGAATCAGATGCAAAACTGCTCCCACTGCTGTTTCATCCCATTGGGCGTAAAACTGCTGCAAAGTGTCTCAAGCGACCCTCTTGCTGAATAAAACAATTACACTTTTTCTAAGCACATGTAATACAGAATAACCTAAGCAAACCACCATCGGCGCTGAGCAAGGAGCCTGAATAGCAACAAGCTTCGCTTAGCTGGAAAGGCTTTTCTTCCCTCAGCATTGACCGGCCGAATTTTTGACCGGAGCAAATCCCCACGCATGTTTGCATGACGGTGAATGAGCGATTGTTTTTTCTACTCTAGATGAATGCATGCCCTTCTGAGTGAAAGTTGTTTTCGGTATCGTAGTAGAGAACAGTCATCTGTCTGGTTTCAGCAGTGGCTACTTTCGCATTCTGTTCTTGCCTCCGCCTAAACCCGCTACCCCTTCTCTCATTTGCTTTTTTTGAGTTTTATTTCCTTTCTTAGCAGGGAGTGATGAGAGTAGTTCGAAAAAAAAAATCGTCCATCGTTTCTAAGAAATAATAGCCGTTTTCACGACGGGCTATCTGGCGAATGCACTTAATTTGACCAAAATCTGTGCAAAATCTCTTTAACAACAAGTATCTTCATATCATGAATTTATTTCAGTGTTTTATGATAGTGTCTGACAATTTAAAAATGAGCTATATAGGCATCTGTGCAACCCAAATTTTATTC